GCAAAAGGCTCATTATCTGCCATATTGGCAGTGAGGATGGATTTGTTGTTGACGGTCTATGGTGCTTTGAGTCTAAGAAAACTGGAGATTACCACGAGGAAATGAATGGCGAATCGCTTGAACAGTGGTTATCAAAAATTTTACCGAACTTAGAGGTAAACGCAGTAATTGTGTTGGATAATGCGCCTTATCATTCTCGAAGAATGGAGAAGGTCCCAACAACGGCTTCAAGGAAAGTTGATGTTCAAAATTGGCTCCGCTCGAAAAATATCAACTTTGAAGGAGCAATGCTGAAAGTACAATTATTAAGAATTGTCAAGGATCACAAGGCGGAATATCAAAAATACGCCATTGACGAAATGGCAGCAAGTCAGAATAAAACTGTGCTCCGTTTACCTCCATACCATTGCGAGCTCAATCCCATTGAGCTCATATGGGCAGAGGTTAAAAATTATATAGCTAAGCACAATACAACTTTTAAATTTTGTGACCTCAAAGGACTTTTCAAAGAAGCACTAGAATTAATAACAGCGCAAAAATGGGAAAACTGTATTAAGCACGTGAAAGTCAAAGTTGAAAAGAGAATGTGGGAACTGGACAATATTTTAGAGGAACAAGCTCATCTTTCCAATAAAAGATGTCGTTCATCAAATTCGGTAAGTTATAAGTAATTATAAAGCTACTGTATTTTTTAATTAATTATTGACATTTTTGAACCCATTTTGGCAAAACCTATTCAAGAATCTACTTTCTGACAATGTTCAACCATGCACATTTTTTTAGGTTTTGAACGTTTTAATTTGGTTACATATTTACCTAGAAATCAAAAAATATACTAATCAATATTCTAAAAGCAATCTTAAGAGATATACGATTATTTTTAATTTAGGCTAATTTAAACGCCATTTTGAGATTATATTCGACTGTATTTCACCAAACATCAGGCGGCATCCGAAGCTGGAAATCGAAGCGAAAATTTTGAAACCCTTATGTATATTTACATCATTATATATTTCTTACCCCACCCCCACATCATGTGGAGGTGGGGTAAGAAATGTGTCATGTGTCATGTGTCATCCTATATCCATCACCAATCGTATACACATCGAATTGTGCTAATTTACTACAAAGTTACGCAAAGCAGCATCTACTATCTAAAATATGTACTGCGTGACTCTTAATACGTCCCTGCCGAATGTTACAGCGTTCGATGATCACGTGGTCTTGTTTATGTCCGGTCTATCTCTTATCTGAATATACTTTAGACAAGGTTTTGTTTCCATGGTCAACTAATTATCTAACTTTCAAACACATGATGCATTTCAGCCATTCCCATTACTCCGTTTTTTGGCTTCTTGCCAGCTTTTTGGGTGTTCGCGACACATTTATGTTCAAGACCAGTTCTGTAAGCGACAGAGAAGTAAAAACGCTGACTGTTAAACTGCTCATCTCGTCTCGTAGTTCATTTCAACCTGGATTTACGGGTTAACGTAAACCTTTGCCGGAAGCGCCAAAAGCCAAACCGCACAAACAAACGAATGCAATTCAGCATGCCTTGCTCCGTGTTCCGGACAAATAAAGAATCCCAGAATGCTAGATTACTTTACCCCAAAGCCAAAGGCGTTCCGCTGCGTTGTAACAATGTTGCGCTTCTGCACAAACTAACCCCTTTGAGACAACACAAGTGAAACGATCCGGTGAATCTGGCAACTGCATGCAACTATTACATGAATTACAAACCGGCATTTACGTTGTTTAAGGAATTATAGTCAAAGAGTTAATTTAAATAAACACTTAAACTCTACCAAAATTAAATGCTCAGTCCCGTCGATTTTGTTTTCGAGGGGGACACAGGTTTGGCAAACAATCACGGCAGCACGTGAAGCCCCCTAAGCGGGGGTGACACCACCCCCAAAATCTTAAATGGAAAGGGGGTCGAGTGATGCCTTATTTTCAAGGTCTTTCAATTCCCTTTAAAATGATATAAAATTAATATACTTCACTTCAGCAGATTTGAAGATGTATTGATTTAAAGGTTAAATAAAACTCATACATCATTATTAGTGGAGATCAATACATTTGGCAGCAAAGTAGTTTAAAAATGCAGAATGAACTGACCCGTTAGGCAAGTAAATGTTGAAAATGGCCACCATGACTCTCCATGCAGTAATAAAGATTTAGCTCAAAACGTTGCCGCACATTTTGCAATATTTGAGGAGTAATTTGAAGGCACTCATTCACATTTCTTTGTCGCAGGTCTTCTAGTGATCTTGGCTGTGTAGCATAGATTAAGGTTAAGTTGAAAAACGCAAATCTTAGCGACACTTCGCCTTTTTTGTACTTTTACTTAAGTACGAAATAAAGCCCATTTATTTTATTATTATTATTATTATTTTGCTTTTTAAATGACGCCACATAAGAAAATCCAAAGGTGATAAATCTGGCGATCTTGGGGGCCATTCAATGGCACCTCTTCTACCAATCCATCGATCTGGAAACGTCTGATCTAAATATTGTCACATGAAGTGAGAAATGCTCTTCATGAATTCCGTAATGAACAATGTGGCGACTTTCTGTCGGAGACGCTTGACTCAAGTATTCCTCTCCGGAAAGTTGCAAAGTCGCTCAGAAACGGAAAGCGAGAACAACTCCCGCACATCCACGGTCCTGATGGCATAGTCTGTACGACAGAGGAAAAGGTCGAGGTTTTCGCTGATGCAATGAAAAGTCAGTTCTCTCCCAACTATGACCTTGATAATTACCTCGACGAGGAGCAACATATTGTAAGATCCGTCAGGAGATATTTTAGGGCCAACGCCGTCAGTGGCAGTAGTGCCTCCCTTAGTGATTTTTCCTCAGAGGAATCTTCAGAAGATTCCTCAACTGAAGAGCTGCACGGCACATCAGCGGAATCTCCTGAGACTCCGCATTGCACACCAGCAGAGCTCCAAGGTCATATTAAAGACCTCAAGGTACGTAAAGCACCTGGAGAGGATCGAATCACTAATAAGGCGCTGAAGCTACTTTTACGGATGTCCTTAACTTATTTCGTGGTAATAATCAATGCCATGCTGAGGACCCAGCACTACCCAACGGCATGGAAGACCGCTGACGTCATAATGATTCCAAAGAAGGTGGGTTCGATATTCCCCCAGGATTACCGCCCCATTAGTCTACTGTCAGCTCCTTCTAAGCTCACTGAAAAGGTGATTCTACGTCACCTCGGCAGACCACAATGTGATTCCTGACGTGCAATTTGGCTTTCGGTCTGAGCATAGTACGGAGCTACAGGCCATAAGGCTTGTCGAACGAGTAACCAGGGGGTTCACCCGTAACGAAAGTACTGGCATCTTGCTTCTGGATGTCTCAAAGGCATTTGACAAGGTGTGGCTCCTAAACCCCTTGAAATTCTCCCTCGACGGTAGGGAATTTCGAATCAAAATTAATAACGTTCTGTCGACAACACGGCCCATCAAAGCCGGTGTCCCTCAGGGTTCGGTTCTTGGGCCAGTCCTTTATTCACTTTTTATTCATGACGTCCCTTGCCCCAGCAACTGTGAAACCTATCTCTATGCAGATGACACTGCCCTGGCGGCCCAGTCGTACTCTGGGGATCTAGTTCACGACAGGCTACAAAGTGCAAGGGACGAGGTATTGGAATGGGCGAATCGGTGGCTGATCAAAATTAATCATTCGAAAACGCAGGCAACCTATTGTACTAAAAAACTTAGCGGCGCCCCGTCTGAGGTTTCAGTGAATGGAGCTCGGGTACCTTGGGAAAGCTCCGCTAAGTATCTCGGTGTCACTCTTGACAAGGGGATGACCTGGCAGAAGTACACTGAAGCGTTAAAAACTAAATTCCAAATCTCGTTTCGGCGACTCTACCCTATGCTATGTATAACATCAAAATTAAGTTTGATCAACAAAGTTCGGCTATACAAGATCGTTATTAGACCAGCGATCACTTACGCAAGTGCAGCTTGGTGTTTTCTCGCCACAATGCATTTGCGTAGCCTGCAGGTTTTGGAGAACAGAACCTTGCGTACAATCACTAACGCCCCATGGTATGTTTCCAACGAGACCCTTCACAGAGATCTTGACATCAAACAACAAGCCCAGCTACGTTATAGTCAAGCGGGATCGCATAACAACCCTTTGTTGCACGAGTCAGTAGACCACACAGTCGAGCAAGTTCGCACGCACACAAGGCCGCGACTCGCACTGTGAACAAAATTAAATCGTGCGACCTTAGGTCCAACCAAAATTATAATTTTTCTTCAACAACCAATCACAAAATTAATTTTAGGATCAATTTAAAATTGCCGAATACTAAGTAGCGATGCCAAGGCACCCCTCAAATTGATGCTCTTCGCTCTCCCTCCCTCCTTCCTTCCTTCCTTCCTTTGCAATGATGCAATTTTTGGCCATTTTTCAATTTATATGTGAATAATATCACGTAAAAACTGGCTGAAATTATCCGACGCGTCTGTATACAACTGAGAATAGCAGAATATTGCTCTGAAGACTAGTCAAATGATGTCAATTGCCCACAGTCAGGTATACAGTGACGCGAAATTTTTAATTTTAGTCAATTACAACACGTTCACCCAATTTTCTGTAAATTGGCGGTCTTTACGAGAAACATGCATAAAACCTTTTTTGTGGAGAATTTTATGCTCATTTTATCGTAGAGTTGATATTTTCGAAGATACATGGAAAATAGTGTTTTTGTGACCTTTGACCCCACATAAAAAAACTCCACTTGGATTCATGGGAACTTTTGAGAAATGATGCATAATAGTGAAAAGAAACTCTATCGTAGAGTTGATATTTTCGAAGATATATGGAAAATAGTATTTTTGTGAAAAATTCAGCTAGGTGGGATTTTTTTCTTTTCGTCTAATAGTCCTGGACTATTAGTCTGATTTTCCATAAACGAACATATTCTTATCAATTAACCAGAGCATATTTGTTTCACATTTTTTATTATATAAATAAAATGTCTATCCTATCAGTAAATACAACAGTATTGTACAAAAGAGATATTTGGCATTCAAATAAAATTGCTGTTTACTGTTTGTATACAGAAGAGTAGCTGGTTGCACCTCCTGGATAGTGATGGTGGCCACTATACCCGCCGTGTGGATTCTGGTGGAAAACTGAGGTCGCATAGCTAACTCCTGAAAAATAAAATACCTCATAGTTCTAAAATTTTACTTACAGCATCGCTGCCTTTCTCAACTACTGCTACATAAAAATGGTCTCTAACAACCACGACCACTACAGTTTTTCGAATTCTTAGGATTCATGGAATCGGGGACTATTTCCTGTATACTCAGAATTTCTTAGGAATGAATATTATAACACTGATCAACAGCCAAAAAATATCCTAAATAAAATCAACAAAATATTACTATTTTTAATGTGCTAAAACCGGAATCAAACTTATTTTTTCAATATTAGTTCAAGTTTTAGAGATACGGTAATTATATGTGTTCCTGCTGTGACAGTGTTAATATACCGTAATTCACAAGAAAGCACGTGCTACATTTTTATATTCGGCAAGGAAAGACGATGTAATCGGCATGATTGTGTTACGTTATACATACGTGTACATTATATTGTTTTATATTAGCCATCTTTTCCTCAGTTGGCTCACAGCGTTCATGCAAGATGTCTCGAAAGTGTGTAAACAATCCAGATCAGTTTTGTTACGTGTGTGGTGAAGTGACTTTTGCGTCTCAGAGACGGTCTATTACTCCACTAATAACAAAGGCATATCAGCTTTATTTCGGTTGTAAACTAGGTGATCAAGACAAACAGTGGGCACCCCACATCTGCTGTAATACATGTGCTTCAAGTCTGAGGAGCTGGTTAAATGGCAAAAAACGGTCTATGCGCTTTTCTGTCCCAATGGTTTGGAGAAAGCCTACAAATCATATTAATGATTGTTACTTTTGCATGGTACCTTGTGTTGGACAAGCCACAGGTATGTCCAAGAAAAAAAATCGGTTATTAACTACCCAAACATACCATCTGCGATGAGACCTGTGCCTCACAGTGACGAAAATCCTATTCCAAAACCCCCAGAATCCTACACTTGCGAATCAGAAAACGAATCAGATCATGGCGATCGAGTGATTCGTCAGGAAGAAGATATGCCATCAACGTCAAGAGCTCCTGATTTTATACCGAGTACGTCATGCCACCAACCGCACAAAATAACACAGTCAGAATTAAATGATCTTGTAAGAGATTTAGAACTTCCAAAATGTAAGGCAGAGTTACTTGGATCAAGACTGCAGCAGTGGAACTTGTTAGAAGACGATGTTTCGGTATGTGTTTTTTGTAAACGCCACAAAGACTTCGAACCATTTTTCAATATGGAGAATAACTTGGTTTTCTGCAGTAACATTAACGGCTTACTGGCGGCTTTAAATATAAACTATAACCCAGAGGAATGGAGATTGTTTATAGACAGTTCAACATTGAGTTTAAAGGCAGTGTTATTGCATATTGGAAATATTTTACCATCTCTTCCTGTAGGGTATGCAGTTCACATGAAAGAATCATATGACAATATGAAGTACCTATTGACATGCATAAAATACGATGAGCACCAATGGCATATTTGTGGCGATTTGAAAGTTGTTGCACTTTTACTTGGGCTGCAGCTAGGCTACACAAAGTTTTGCTGTTTTTTGTGTGAATGGGACAGTCGGGCAAAGGCACTTCATTACACCAGACAAGACTGGCCTGTTCGTCAATTCCTAGAGCCAGGTCAAAAAAATGTACAGCATATGCCATTAGTAGATTCGAAAAAAATTTTATTACCACCACTGCATATCAAGTTGGGCCTAATAAAAAACTTTGTCAAGGCATTAGATAGAGATGGGTCAGCTTTTCAATACCTGCGTCAGAAATTTCCAAGACTAAGTGAGGCAAAGGTTAAAGAAGGTATTTTTGTTGGGCCACAGATTCGAAATATTTTGAAAGATACAGTTTGAAAACACTTTAACAGGTATTGAAAAAACTGCTTGGAATGATTTCCGTCTGGTGGTCACTAATTTCTTGGGAAATAGAAAAGCTGACAACTATAAACCCCTTGTCAAAAATATGCTGTCTTCGTATCAAAAGGTGGGCTGTAATATGTCTCTTAAGATACATTTCCTACACTCACACCTGGACTTTTTTCCTGACAATTGCGGAGCCGTAAGTGATCAGCACGGCGAACGTTTTCATCAGGATATTTCAACAATGGAAAAGAGGTACCAGGGAAAGTGGAATCCTTCCATGCTTGCAGACTACTGTTGGACTCTTGGTAGAGATGCTCCAGAAACGATCCATAAAAGAACAGCAAAAAGACAGCGCATATAGTGATTCTTATAAGTATATGAATCTTGTTACTTTTTTTAATATATCCTTAAAAATAAAAAGTTTTTTTTCTAAACCGCAACTAATTTTTTTATTTCATTGTCATTTTTGGATTCAGCGCCCCAAAATTAATAAAGAAGTGCACTTTTCCTACAAGATACAATTAAAAAACTAAAATTTGTTGTCCAGTGAATTAATATTCTCCAACTTTCACTAAAGGTAATGTTCGCAGAATATACAAACCTAAGAATGCTAACTCTAGTGAAAGTTTACAGTGGTACATAGTTCCAACTAATTACAAACGCATAAAACTCGTTCATTTCAGAACATGTAATGTCAACCCCGATGGATTTTTAACGCTTTTCATTTTAATTTACACTTCCTTAAGTCTGGAACAGCTTTTCTTTCCTTTTTTTTGAAAACGAAGTGAGATCCAAAAAGCAAAGACTTTTTGATGCTTTATTAAACAATGAATATTAAATTTACAAAAAAGGCACTGGCGTATAGAATCGAGCAAATATTTTTAAGATATTAATAATTAATTTTTTGAAAGTTACATTCTTTTTTATTGTTCCGAATAACGAGATCACTTTTCTGTTATGCACCCCAGTAGAAGCTCCTTAGTTCTTACCTTCATGTCCATATCCGCCCCCATAATGCCCCTGGTACCCTTCCTCATACCCACTCTCATAACCTCCATCGTGTCCACCCTGGTACTGAATGGGCTGATGTTGGGACACCGGGTAGTGAGGGTATTGTTCGTGGATGATGGTCTTCGGTACCCTCGATGGTCCCTGTTGAGGTGCTTGGTAGTGCGGTGGAGGAGGAACTTGTGGAAGAGGTTGAGGTACTACTGATACTCTCACAGGCACTGGGATAGGGCGTTGCGGTACGCCTAGGTGTTGGGGTACATGCACCGGAATCTGGAATTAAAATGTAAGCGTTTAGGCCAGGGTATTAAGTGAAAAATCGCACCTGGTTCGTGATAGTCGCAGAGATTGCAAATCAATGGTCGCTTCTACTATTACGAGGTATTAGAAAATATGACCATATCAGTCATGACTATAATGAAAACGGGAAATTGAATTTAGAAAATCTTATAATCTATATATCATGCAGTACCTTTAGTACATAAGACTTTAATGAATAAAAACCAGAGTACCTTCTTAATACGCTACAACAAGTTGAAGACGTTAACAACTTAGCAACAAGAAATAGTCAGTCTCTAGTTATACCCCACCACTCTACATCATTGTACAAAAAAAGTTTTTCATACACCGCGGCCAAATACTTCAACAATTTACCAACTGAGCTCCGCAATTACAGTATAATAAATTTCCAAAAAAAATTGAAAGCAATGCTTCTAGCCACCTCCTCTGACTGATAATAATGAGACCATTTTTCAAGAACTCAGCTAGAATAAGACTGACTGTATGATTTTTCGTGTTATGTCGTATGGGCATATTAAATGACTTGTATACTTATACAGACTTAAACATTATTAGGCATTGCCACAAATCACATGCATTTCTTTATTACTCTAAGACTCTATTCTTATTCAAGTTTGTAATTTTATTTTATGGCTGAGTTGAAAAATACCGCCATTTCGGTTCTTAAATTTCAAATTTTTAGTACCCAAATTGAAATGTATTTGCAAAAGTGCAGGTTATTATTATTACTATATTTCTGGCAATTGAAGCTCCATAATTGCATTTTTTTGTATTTTCACACATAAAACATGCTGTATTTTATGAAAACTTTTCTGTAATATGAAATCTTTCAAAATGACCACTAAAACTAATCAGTACCCACTAACAATTCTCACTCATACTAGAGTTTCAAGAATGATTATAAAGTATTCCTTAAACAGCATTGTATACTGTAAGAACATTGGCAAAACCCTCTTAGAACAGCTATACAAGCGGAATGGGCACACCTAATAGGACACTTCAGTCATTTAAGAGGTTGTATAAGGTACAGTTATAAAACAAAAGTGTAAGCCTCTTGCATCCGCTATAGGACATTTGCGTCAGTGCAAGATTCAGTTTTTGTCAACTATACAACTATTCTGTTACGTGATTCTACTTTATTGCAACCAAACTATTTCTTATGTATTGTATAGACGAAGTGAAGAATATATAACCAACACATTACAGTCATCTTGTTTACTTACATATCGGCCATTGTGAATTTCATATACAGGTACTTCTACACTGTGATATAGGGCTATTGAATTACTTGCCCAGCAAATTTTATTATGATTATCGTGCAAATTAGTTACCCAATTTCTACGGACTTCGTATTTGATTCATATTTTGACAATGATCAATAGTATGTCTAGGTTTTTAAGATGTAAAACTGAACTTATCTGCGTTAAATCTTCCACAAATCCTATATTTAGACACAATTACACTAATTTTTATCACTTTATATCTGTAATTTCGAACTGAAACATAATTATTTAATATTAAATAAAGGAATAAATCTTTGCCAAATATGGCGGGTGGTTGTGTACAATCATGGCATCGTCCATGTAGTCTGTAGGTTATAAGAATATTTTGGTGTTGCCTGCAGGTGTTATACAGCAATTTGACAAATGTCTGAAATGTATACCGACAGAGTCGAATGATTTACCCAGAATTTGTACCAGATCTATATCTTCTGTTTGAACAGTTGATAAAACCTTTTGAACCAATATGCATGCGTTGTTTGTCTTAAAACATTGGTGATGGCATTTTAACAAAAATATGACAGCAGAAAATTAGGTTATGGTGAAGTTGTTTACCAACATATTTAGCATATGTTTTTTAACAGTTACTAAACAACATTTGTATAAGTGGTTCCGTTGTCGGCTTTTGTCGGCTAAAGTAGTAAATTGCACAGCAAAACAACAAGGCTCGAGTTTGTGTTATAAACGTTAACATGGATGCCACAACACAACCATTTTGACTAACTTGCAAATATGCCGTATAAAATAGTTGTATAAACGTTTATGCACCAGTTAAAAATTTGCCCTATAAGGTGTTGTATAACTATGCTATAAGAATATTTTAAACATCTTATTTTAGAGCAAATATGTTGCAGAAAGCAAATCTGCATTCCACACAACATTAAGCGAGCATTTAGGTGTTCAGGCAACAATAATAGAGAGCTTTTATGGCTGAATGGTTCTTTTACCAAAAGCTTTATACCACTACTTTGCTAGTTGGGTAGGCTGACACGTTATTGAAAAAACTATTGAAGGAGGTTGAAATTCAATATCGTTACGTACTAAAAGCTACAAAATTTAGTTCTCTTTTGAAGAAGTTACATTTTTACTACTTCAGATTGATTTATACAATAATTTTCAAAACTTGGTCGCCTTGTATAACAATAAAGCGAGAATTTTGTTTGGATTGTATCGCAATGAAGAGGGATCTTTCTTGGCTCCAACACCGTTTCTCTTAAATATCAACGACCTCCTTTCCTGCACGATCATCCAATCCACAGCTGGTCAGAGTTCAGATCACCTTGATCTGGCACGAACACATCTCGTTAATAGCGGCAGCCGCTGAAAAAATGCTAGGCTATTTGTTTAGGGCTACTATTCTCCTCATGACCTCCTCACTCTATACAAGACCCAGACAAGACCTAGCCTCGAGTACTGTTCACACGTTTGGGGTGCTGCCGCCCCGACTACATTATCCATTTCGATGCTGTTTAGATGAGGGCTGCCCGACTGATCTATGGCTCTTCTCTGACAGTCTCGGGACCCTATCGCACTAGCGGGCCGTCGGTGATCTAGCTCTCTTCTACCAACGGGCTTTGTTCCTCAGAGCTCTCTTACAAGATGCCGGCGCACGATGTGCCTGCCAGGCAGACCCGCCTGACATCGGCCTCAGATCCTACTCGTGTTGAACTTCTTACATCCAGAACTGGCCGATACGACCGCTCCTTTGTCCCTAGGCGTCTAGATTGTGCAACAATCTACAAGAGGAGGTTTTTCCCAGTTCTACTAACCTTAGGCAGTTCCTCAGGATCTCCATAGCAACCGCAGTACCCTGGCGTTTAAACTTCGGTGTAAAAAAAAAGAGACAAATGAAGCTATTCAATTACATGTACTAATGTACTAATTCTATAAATTAGTATTTATTGCCATGAAATCTTGTCTCAAATGTGCGCTTATTTGTAACTTATAAACATATAGAAGTATGTTGTTGTATTTACTTGTAGAGGAACAAATTGCCCCCAACGAATCAAACTTATTGTTCTCGAAACTGTAAGTTTATATCGCCGATTTTAAGCTAATTTGTAACAATTTTTGATCTCACCTGTACTGGTCTAGGTATCTGTACAACTGCTGATGGTGGAACACCAACCGGCACTCTCTTAGGAATAACAAACGGGTAATGCTGAGGAACTGCAACCTGAGAAGTGTGGGCTATGGAGTTAGGGACTGCATGAGCTCCCCCAACAGCAGCTCCATAGCTGTCCCTGTAACTCCCACTGTAGCCCCCTCCATACGGTCCATTTCCTCCATTTCCGTTGCTGTTTTCGTTGCTAAATGCTAGGCCGTTTCCTACGTAACTGCAAAACGGATATCGGTTGCATTTTTAAATTCCGACTATAAATATGTTATTATGTACTATCGATAACTATTGGAAATGCACACAAATTATTCAATAAAGACTATAGGCGATAATGCATATGAAAATTAAAATTGCCCCCAAATCTGAATCAGTTCAAATTGAGGTAGATCACTTTGGCCATAACCTCAAATACGTATTTTTTGAAAATATTTTTTAGTTTGCTCAAGAATACTGAAAAATTACCGATACTACAGTATATTCAGATAAGAGATAGACCGGATGTAAACAAAAGGTTCGGGTGATTTTCACGCTAACGCCGCCGTCTCGACGTAAAACAGGAGCCCTCATTGGTCAATTCGCGGCAGAGCAGTCGTATCAAGGCAGAGTCACATTCAGGTTCAGACGTGTTACGTATGTCGTGTGCATCATTGCAATTTGATATTTCTTTGGACGTTTTCGTTTGTTATCTTATTAAGTTGTTGAGTTTGTCGTTGTTATTGTTATACCTTGTTATTGATTGTTATTGTTATCAACTGCTTGCGCAAAATGCCCAGTAGTACAGATACTGCCGATGAAGTTGTAAACTCCTGTAGTCCACCTAGGAAACGCTCTAAAAAAAGACACCTGAGTGCAGAAATGAAAGAGGTCATTTTGAATATATATAAGATCGAGCGCGAGGAGAACGAGGCTTCAACCATCAAAGAAATTGTTGTGAAGGTTTCTCACAAAGTTGGGGTGTGTCGCGCATCAGTGTTTAATGTGTTGAGACAATACAAAAAAAATCACACCTTTTCTGAGCCAATGACCAGTAAACATCGCAAAAGTATTGTTAAATCATTGGATGAAGCTGATAAGCATGCGATTAGGAGGCAAGTGCACGAATTCTTCTTTAGGAATGAAATACCTACTATAGATAAAGTACTGCAGGAGGTAAATGGAGATACAACGTTGCCAAATTTCAAACGATCAACTTTCCATGCGTTACTGAAGCATTTAAATTTCAAATGGAAAAAACGGGGTCGTAATAGTTTACTACTGGATAGAGAAGAAATTGTGCTATGGAGGAGGGATTATTTAACAAAAATTGGGAAATATAGAAATCAAAACAGGAAGATTTATTACCCTGATGAAACGTGGGTAAACGCAGGACACACTACAAGTAAAGCATGGGTTGATAATTCTGTAACTTCATCCAGGAGGGCCTTTCTAGATGGACTGTTCACCGGATTAAAAAATCCAGCAGGTAAATACGAGTAATAGACAACAATCGGATGTTTTTCAAACCTTGGGAACAAGGTTCTAAACATTAATTCCAGGGGGCAGATAAAACATATTTCAAGTAACAAAACTTTTATAACTTTCGATAAAATGCGTGGATGTTTAATTGTCATTTTCATTTGTTAGAACTTTTTTAAGCCATGTTTTTATGTTCGATATAACAATAATTTTTTAATATAATCTTAAAATATGTCGAATATTATAAACTTAAAAAAAGTTACTAAGTTTTATATTGTGTACCGTTCCTAATATTTCTAATCATTTTAATTCATACTTTAAGCTTTATAAAGTTATAATTTGTTAATATTAATATTTGCGCGTATTTCAGGTTCCTGATCATTCATTTTTTAAAGGTTTATAACTTTAAATTAAATTGTGAAGCGCTGAGTAATCATACGACGTTCAATATTCTTTCTTTCAATATGACTAAATAATCCCAATTATAGCAATCTGATACTCATGTCTCAATGTTTTTTCGCTGAATGTGATGAAAACATTTGAAAAAGGTTCGCTTATTGTAATAAATCTACACCAGTTAGTACTTCGATTTCCAGGTAAAGGGAAAAGGCTCATTATCTGCCATATTGGCAGTGAGGATGGATTTGTTGTTGACGGTCTGTGGTGCTTTGAGTCTAAGAAAACTGGAGATTACCACGTGGAAATGAATGGCGAATCGTTTGAACAGTGGTTTTCAAAAATTTTACCGAACTTAGAGGAAAACGCAGTAATTGTGTTGGATAATGCGCCTTATCATTCTCGAAGAATGGAGAAGGTCCCAACAACGGCTTCAAGGAAAGTTGATGTTCAAAATTGGCTCCGCTCGAAAAATATCAACTTTGAAGAAGCAATGCTGAAAGTACAATTATTAAGAATTGTCAAGGATCACAAGGCGGAATATCAAAAATACGCCATTGACGAAATGGCAGCAAGTCAAAATACAAATGTGCTCCGTTTACCTCCATACCATTGCGAGCTCAATCCCATTGAGCTCATATGGGCAGAGGTTAAAAATTATATAGCTAAGCACAATACAACTTTTAAATTTTGTGACCTCAAAGGACTTTTCAAAGAAGCACTAGAATTAATAACAGCGCAAAAATGGGAAAACTGTATTAAGCACGTGAAAGACAAAGTTGAAAAGAGAATGTGGGAACTGGACAATATTTTAGAGGAACAAGTCGAGCCATTCATTGTTGACGTTGGTGCTTCAGGCAGTAGCGATGATGACAGCTCATCAAGCTCATCTTTCCAATAAAAGATGTCGTTCATCAAATTCGGTAAGTTATAAGTAATTATAAAACTACTGTATTTTTTAATTAATTATTGACATTTTTGAACCCATTTAGGCAAAACCTATTCAAGAATCTACTTTCTGACAATGTTCAACCATGCACATTTTTTTACGTTTTGAACGTTTTAATTTGGTTACATATTTACCTAGAAATCAAAAAATATACTAATCAATATTCTAAAAGCAATTTTAAGAGATATACGATTATTTTTAATTTAGGCTAATTTAAACGCCATTTTGAGATTATATTCGACTGTATTTCACCAAACATCAGGCGGCATCCGAAGCTGGAAATCGAAGCGAAAATTTTGAAACCCTTATGCATATTTACATCATTATATATTTCTTACCCCACCCCCACATGATCCTATATCCATCACCAATCGTATACACATCGAATTGTGCTAATTTACTACAAAGTTACGCAAAGCAGCATCTACTTTCTAAAATAGGTACTGCGTGACTCTTAATACGTCCCTGCCGAATGTTACAGCGTTCGATGATCACGTGGTCTTGTTTATGTCCGGTCTATTTCTTATCTGAATATACTGTACATTGTTATGCCATTTATGACTGATGTTTTTATAGATTTGTGGAACGTATAGGTCCTAGATAAATGTTTTTGATTGTTTTTTCGGTATTTCGGTTAGGTAATGAAGATTTGATAAAGTCAAAGATTAACTTTTCTACAACTTTCGAAATTTCAGACGTAGTGCACAATTTACTGAATAAAGGCTATAGGCGAAAATACATGGAAATTTCCTCCAATATCTCAAATTGAGGTAGATCACTTCAGTCATAGGGGTCCATAACTTCAAAGACGTATTTTTTTGAAAACATTTTCTTGCGAGCGAAATTTTGCTTAAGAAAATTGAAAAAAAATCACAGATACTATATTATTATGTCATTCATGACCGTAGTTTTTTAAGATTTGTAGATCATTCGAGTATATATCAGAGAAAAACGTTCTTTGATTTTTTTTTCGAATTTCCGGTTAGGCAATATAATTTGGTTAACTCAAAAATCCACTGTATCTCAGTGCTTTCTTGTAGTATTTCAGATCCACTAACAAAATCTTGATTTTTTTCCCAAAAAATCTCCAAAAATCGGAAAAAAATTTCCCTCGACTTTTGACATTTTAAACGTAGTGTAGTAACTTTCTCAATAAAGGCTATAGACGAAAACACATCAACATTGCCCCCAAATCTGAATCAGTTCAAATTCAGGTAGATCATTTTAGTCATAGGGGCCCATAACATCAAAGACGTATTTTTTGAAAATAATTTTCTGCGAGTGCAATTTTGTTCAAGGAAATTTTAAGAGAATTAGGTACCGATACTACATTATTATATCATTCATGACCGAAATTTTTCCACAGATTTATGGATCGTATGGGTCAGAAAAAAACCTTTTTTGAATTTTTTTTTCGAATTCTTGATTAGAAAATGAAAATTTGTTAAACACAAATATTCACTGTATATCTTTCTTAAGTTCTTTGACTTTTCCACAACTTTCGACATTTCAAACGTAATATACCATAAAGTGGCTACCTTGAAAATCCGGCAAACAGATTCCATAGTAAAAATTTTGATTTGTCTCCTGGAAAACTGCGAAAATAGGAAAAACCGCATTTTACTGATTCTTTTCAATTTTTAACGTTTTCCGGGGGACAAATCAAAATTGTGGCTATGGAATCAGAAACAATTTACACTCATATGTTTGTCGAATTTTCAAGTTAGTCAACTTATGACATACTAGGTGTAAGAAGTCAAAAAATTGAGAAAATCGACGAAAATATTGTTTTTTCGATTTTTGGTGATTTTCCGGTCAAAAATTCATGACTTTGTTAGTGGATCATATGTAATTTTGGCTATGGCTTTCTTGGTATGCTTTCCATATTCTGATAGTAAAGAAAAATAGAAGCTGCAGATTTAAGCAAATTCCAAATATTAGTAGTCGTTCAGGAAATTTATGGGCTGACTCAATTAGAATTTGTAAAGCCTCCACCTAACCTGTAACAGTTTAAGTTTAATGAAAATAAAGAGACTTCAAATATATAAGCTGAAGAATTTTTGAAAATAACAGACGTACTTTTCATGGCTTCCTCCAAAATCATCGAATATTCCCCTTTTGGAGTTGCTTCTGCTAGATCGGTCCTTCTTGCAAAGCGCGTCATGGCAATGGATCGCTAACAACAGGGAGGAAACCTGTAAAAAATCAAGGTGTCAAGTAGGTTGACTCTACACCTACTACGCAGCGGTGTCATCAGATCATAAAGGATTACGTTCGTCACAAGCTAATAATATTAATAATAACCTTATTTTTACCTGGCGGGAAATTAGCAAATGCTGTTCTTCCTTGCCAACCGGGACAGTTAGCCTCTCTGAGAGAAGTTTGCTACCGAGATATATAACAAACAAATTGAGTGGATCAAGTCAGTCAAACCGGCCCATGAAATTAGTCTATAGACCTCACTCATTTGACAACGTTACAATCTCGGAATTTACTGTAACATCTGAAAATTATCCTGTAGCTTACATGTCGATAACCCCCCACGGTTATTGGCCAATAGAACCAGATGTACTGACAGATCTCCTTTAGTGAACGTTTCAATCGCAAAGGTATTTCAGTACAATTACATATCCAGACACTATTAGCTACACTAGATTTATCTGTCTTCCAGATGACAGTTCGTTTGTTTTTTCTTCTCATTATCACATCACTACACTACACTACTACAATAGTCTGAAAGTCCCGTAACATTGCGCGAAATCTTCATTCTGAATTTTGAGATGGCACCATGTAAGAAGAACGATCTGACTGATATTCTCCAGCTTAACTAATGGACCGTGAGTTTTCTGTTCAGGTTCTTTCTCGTGGTTTGTTGTTGGATCTCAAACGCGCATATGTCATGCACAAGGCCAAACTGTTGTGTCACACTATTTTTCGTTTTTAGAACGATGGACAAGGGTGACGTGTCTGGTACATTAGAAAATGACGCATACTCGTTTGTCGTTCTGGAAGGCTGGACGTCCTCTTTCAGGAACGGGAATGCTTAACATCCAAAAAGCATATCCATTTTCGAAATTTTTCGTGATTACACTTTGCTATTTGATGTAGGAGGTAAAAACTTCGCTAAAAGTCAAACTAGTCCGATAAAAGCATTCAATTATTGTTAATATGGTCAAACGCTAAAGGTTGGATACTTTCCCAAATTTTTATTTCACTCTCAAAAAGTACATTTCACTTTTTCATAAAAACAAGAATTTTTAAAGCATGTTATACATAGTTAAAGCCTTTTTCTTCAATAGGAAAACTACCCAAAGCATTTACATGGGTTCCCAATATACGATCCTCAAATAAATTTTTTTAACATACTGATAAAAAAACGAGGATAAACTGTATCATACTTCAAAAATGGATATAGTTAATATAATAACCTACTTCAGCTGTTAGAAACGCAATTTTGCCTAGATAAATAATACGTCATCAATAAACGACCTGCTGTTTTTTCTATATTTGTTACACAGGGTTTGTTGACGACCTTAAGATTGTTTACAATTGAGTGTTTTCTGTGACATTTTTAAATTGTTGGTTTAAGGAAATTATTATTCTAATGACCATTTTTATATAAATTTCTGGTAATCAATTGGATTTGATCTCTAAAGAAATACAGTGTCCTATTATAAGGTTTCTTTCTTTCTTCAAGGCTGTATTTGAACAAGGAAAAAGACTTAAAGCACTAACTTGCCGAGCATACCCATTTACTGTGATGATTAAAAAATAATCCATCGTTATGAACATCTTAAGTATCATTTAGACTAAAACTAGACACAGATTGACGGAAAGGGTAAATAATAAAAATCTGAGCCTTTTTTTGTTATATTTTATGTTTTTCCTTTCTGTTGGCAAATATTATGCGGTGATGTTATTTTCTTTGATTTTTAGTTCCATATACAACATTCGATTGTTGTTCTGTTGAAATTTTGTCTTTAGGCTTTGTAAAAAAAATCTGATTGTATTTCCACTTTTCCACTCAATCTTAATTGTATCTGAACTTGAAACACTCACCAATTCCTTCGACAATTTTTTTGCATAAGTAATTCTGAGTATTATTGGTGGTGGTTCTGTTATTTTGCTTATTGTTCTGCAATAATGAAGTTACGATAGGTGGAGGGTAATTATTATTTGGCAAAGCTTGTGTTATGAATGATATATCTTTATGATCATCATGAATAACAAATAAACAAAAAAATGACGGTCGAACAGGTTGAAAACAGATTGAAAATAAATCATATGCAATAATTTAATTCACAAGTCTGATGCAAAGTATTCCTCAATGCTGTAAAAAGTTTTTTTCATAAATAGACCTTTAACGCGGCGTTGGAAAGCAATGGGAATTGGGGTCTTGTTCGCGGCTAATATTTTACAAAGTTTTCGCGAACAAGAAATACACGATTAATAATACAAAGTGAGTGAGTATTAATTATAAAGTTAATTTTATGTCTCTGTATGTTGTTGGTCACGTCGAGTCTTGAAATTTTCTGAAAATTGTTTCAACCGACCATCAGGTACTTACCACAAATACTTTCATGATGCACCTATCACACAAACCGAAACGGCGTCAAATGCTTATCCACCATGTTGGGGTGGCAGGTTTTATACCGCTGATTGCTATCACCGAATGGAGAGGATGATGCACTTAGAAATGCTTTCACTCGGTGGTTCTTCTTGCATATCACGCGTTGTTGTCTACAGTGTGTTACACGCTACTTGAAAAAAGGAAGTGAATTAGTAGATGTAGACACGCTATAGTGTTGTGCATGATTTGCAGTGAGTTTGTAACAACTTTTAACGTATCTATAACGATGTGGTTTGATTAGATACGGTGAGAGAAGTCAAAATACGATCTGTATGAATGTTTTTGATATGGAAACTGCAAAGGAAAGCTTTAAAATCTTGAATCTTTTTTTTGTGTGCTATATATTACAAAAATCAATATCACATGTCGACCAACCAACATGAACATACGTTTTATGCTTATTGGTAATCATCAGCATCATCCATCTGTACCCCAGAGCCCGACTAGGTTAAGCTCATTTTTGTCAAAAAATGAGTTAGTTCAATATGTTAAGCTTATGATAATATTGTGAATTTTCATTTGCTACTTGCAGCGTCCATCTATCTGGAGTAATAAGGAAGTTACGACTTATACAAGAAAAATATTTCAAATTTAATTATCTCAAAACCACTTATTTGGACTTATCATAATTTGGCTCTCAAGTACAGACATACAATATTCGTCTGCACCAAAAATACATGTAGACATCGCACAGATTGCAATCATCATAAAAATGCACACACTCTTCAGATTTCAAGCTATTGAACACATTGCCAAATAATTTTCAAACGATACCATCACAGACTTTTTTTGTAAATATACTAAGTGACATATAAATCCGAACACCCAGTTTAAATGGTTTTATTTTAATAAAAGTTGGTGAGTGTATTTATCTTACTGTAGATAACAACTGAAAAAATTTTCAGCCTTAACAGTTGGGCATTCCGGTTTTTATACTGCTTTTTTTTAATTCACTAACGCTCTAAAAATGAATATTTCAGCCGCAGTAAAGAATCAACGTTGGCGGATTTTGGTTCTTGACATCCTTTACGATCGGTTACGATGCCTAGAGTACGGAGACCTGTACGATTTCGTCAACTTAGTGAGTTTGATAGGGGCCGTATAGTGGGACTTCGGGAAGCTGGACTTTCTTTTCGGGCAATTGCAGTTAGAGTGCAAAGAAGTGTAGACACTGTGGTTAGGTGTTGTCAGGCATGGCTTCGAGAAGGCCGTACGCAAAGAGCAAAGGGCACTGGACGCCGCCGTAGAACAACAGACTGTGAAGACCGCCGCCTAAGATTATTGGCCTTAAGGGACCGTTTCTCCACTACCAGGTCCATTGCAAATGAATGGTTTGCAGAACACGGAAGACGTATTGGCATGCGAAGTGTTTACCGACGAATGAGAAGTTTTGGCTTGTTTTCATACCGGCCACACTGGGTCCTCCCTTTAACTCGAGAACACCGACGTAATCACCTTGAGTGGTGCAGACAACGGTCACTCTGGGATCAGGAATGGAACAGTATTGTCTTTAGTGACGAGTCTCGATTTTGTTTAGGCATGCACGATGATCGTGCCAGGGTTAGAAGGCGACGTGGTGAAAGGAGGAATCCACAGTTTTTTGTTGAAAGACATGTTCGCGCAGCGTTATATCCACGAAGTTCTAGAACCCCATCTTTTACCCTATCTTGACACCCTGGCAGATCCAACTTTCCAACAAGATAATGCCCGACCACATGTTGCAAGAGTCACAATAGACTTCTTTCAACATAATGATGTCACATTGTTACGATGGCCACCAAGATCTCCCGACTTATCCCCAATTGAGCACGTGTGGGATATGATGGGTAGGACATTGCTCAATTTGCAACGTCCTCCTCAGATTCGAGAAGCACTTCGAGAGGAGTTGGTGGTTGCCTGGAATGAGATACCACAGGAGCACATTGACCACCTGATCAGAAGCATGCCTAGGCGCGTTGGAGAATGCGTAGCACATCAGGGTGCATACACACATTATTAAAGGTCAAAGGGCTTTAAAGCAGTGCAATCATTTTGAAATTTTTATCATTTACTTATTATGCTTCATTAAGTACTTATACAAAACTTTATTAAAATACCATTTAAACTGGGTATTCGGATTTATATGTCACTTAGTATATAATCTAAACGACGAATGAATTATCTATCTATCCAAACTTAACCAGTATCCCGGTGAGGCTGATGTCGTTGCTCTTGAAATCACGAAAGCTCTTGATAAGCTGTGGCAGGCTACCCTATTAAGAAGCCTCCATCATTATGGCCTCCCAGAAAAGCTTTGCAGATGGGTAGCTGACTTTCCCCTGGCCGCAGGATATTCGTCGTAATTGACGGGTTCTCCTCCTCGTCCAACAATATCAACGCGGGTATTCTCCAGGGATCGGTCCGGGCTCCAAGAGTGTTTCTATTGCATTTAAACGACATCCTTCCAATCCGATCCAGAGCTTTACCGATGACTGCTCTGCGGTGTGACCATACGATCTCTGCTGATAATTTGGAGAGATCTAGAAGTTATCACCGCTTGAAGACGCAACAATCTGGTACAGCTTAATGCTAGCAAAACACAGTACTGTACCTTACCTCGGACGTGATTGATGGTCAAGTTGTGCCAAGAGCCGGTAAAAAGCTAGGCTATTTTTTTGGGACTAAGAAGTACTTTTCTCCACATAACTTCCTCACTCTGTGCAAGGTCCAGATAAGACCCAGACTCGAGTACTCCTCACATGTTTGGGGTTCTGCCACCCCAACTACATTGTCCATACTAGATGCTGTTCATAGGAGGGGTGTCTGATTGATGGATCACTTTTCTCTAACGGACAGTCTCGGGACCCTTTCGCATCGACGGGCAGTCGGCAATCTTACTCTCTTCCACTGCTATGGCAGAGTTCTCTTCAATAATGTCACCGCACGTTAGGCCTGCCGGACGGAACCGCCAGGGCTCTTCCTCTCATCCGAACTCTGTCGAACTGCCTACAACGAGAACTGACTGATACAACCACACCTTCATTTCTAGGGTGATGAGATTGTGGAAAAGTCTGCATGAGGAGGTTTTTCCGAGTTCTGCTAACGTTAGCCAATTCAAAAATCGGATTAACGAGGCGTCTTCAAGGTCTTTATAGTAGTCGCGCGTTGTTTGACTATGCGACTGCCTCAGTATAAAAAAATAAAGAAGAAACGAGCCATAGTCAAACGTATTCGCTAGTAGAAGTTATTTTTCTATTCATCCTTGTCTGACAAGGCGGTCCGTAGGACCTTTGTGTTTGTGTCAAAGTACGTCAGTCAGTGTGATATTACGAGCCCCTTCCCACTTCAGTTGGCCCACATCAAGATTCGTACCAAAACGAAACTATTTACTTCTAAAACAATTTATTTTCTCAAAAACATTTTAGATACACTCTAGTCGAAAAAATACATATTTGAAATCATTTAGACCTATAACTAATAGGACATCTGAACAAATAAACAATGTGCGAATAAATGCGCGAAGTTAACAAAGCAACAATTGAAATATTACCATGGGGTAAAATCACCTTTATTTTTTATTACGGCTGAAATTCTTTAGGGCATAGTGTTAACCGAGTTTTGGCAAAAATTTGGTGTAAAACAATCCCATATTTCTTGAAGCTTTTGTCTCAGTTCGATGATTGTACGAGCCGGGTGTTGTCGTAGAACCTTTTTCATCTCGTGCCACAAAGTTTCAATAGGTGACAGATCTGGACTGCTAGAAACCCATTTCAAAAGTGGTACATTATTTTCTTCCATCCATTTTATAGCCTTTTTTCAGGTATGGCACGCTGCACCATCTTGCTGAAACACAAAATCTTGGCCGGATGTCAAACATTCTTCAACCACTGGTAAAAGCGATTCTTCTAAAATTGCCGAATATTTGTTTGTATCCACATTTCCATCAATAAAATGAAGTTTTCCTACTCCTTTTGATGACATACTGCCCCAGACCATAATGGATGCTGGAAATTTCACTTTTCTCTTCAGACAGTCAACATGGAACGTTTCATTTTTTTGCGAATAACTCTACTGCGACTGTCACCAACACAAACTTCGAATCGGGCCTCATCACACCATTGTATTGCACACCATTGTTGAGGTGTACATTGTCTATGTTCTTTAGCCCATCTAAGCCGATTTTTCTTTTGCAGTGGAGTTAATAGTGGCTTTTCTTTGGCCTATAAACAAGTTGTGCAACTTTAGGGTTTTTACTTCACTTTTTTTTATAAGGAAACTTACCTTGCAAGTGCTAAATCCCAGTTTATGGGCCTCTCTATGAGTTGTGGACCTCGGAATTCTCCTTCCAACAGCGTCACTCCACAGAGCACTTAATTGTGAATAATTGGCATGCCTGTTTTTCACGATTATTCTTCTTAATGCTCTTCGGTCGGCATTTGTGATGTAAGTGGGAAGGAACTTAACACTCCCTTGCGAGAACCTTACCGGCTGACAGACGGGTTTTGGTTTTCACGGCGCCGATTTTCTCTTTCCGTCGCCGTTCACCCATGTTTCATCACACGTCACGATATGTTTAAAAAAGTCCCTACTGCCGAAATCGATTTAGATGTCTCCTACTGATTAGCAGTCAGATGTTTCGTTCAACAACTTCGAGCGCAGATTTTCTTGAAGCCAAGATGCTTTTTGATGATTTTTTGATAACTTCCAATGCTAATGCCCATTTTTGAAGCGTCACCTGCCCGTCACTTTCAATATCGTTTCTAACAGCACCAGTGCTGTCACCGGAGACACTTGATCTTGGACGTCGATTATGACTCACATCTTCTCGTTCACTCCTAGACTTTTTAGAGCAATCGAATACTTGAGTTTTAGACATGGCATCATCCTCCCACCCTTTCCCATGTATCCCCCTATAGCCCCACGGTACCCAATGGCGGCTTAGGCCTTAGGCCTTCGTGGTAGTTGGAGTATAAAAAAAATCCTCACGCTGAGTCTTCAATCGAGCCAAAGTCTCACAGGGTTCAACGCCTTCCTTCGTCAAAAATTTTATTAAAACTCGTTGCGCAACGGACGGTGGAACTGGTTGCTCACTCATGGCTGTACTGACGTATTGACTGAGTGGAGCAGCTCAC